GTACCCAGGCACACCGAGTGCTGCTGGTCTCATCCTTTTTGCCTCAGGTAGTAAAGGTGGCAGCAAGTCCACGGATGTTTCCTTGGTGGGATACGTCTCATATCTCCCTGTGTCCCTGCTAATATGAAGTAGTGATATGTCCTCTACATCCAAAAGGCCTTGGGGTTTGGGCACTAAGTATGCAAGTCGGTTAAAATGGCTTGGTCCAGGGGCCAGAGGGTCAGCCGCTCTCAGATGTGACCATCTGAGAGTACAAATGTTGCCCACAGGAACTCAGTGATAGGCCTCCACACCCAAGCTACCAGCCTCGTACATTAGTTACTCAGTAGTTCTTCCTCTCACAAGTTCCTAAAATGAAATAACACAGGAAAATGTAAAGGTCTCAGTGGAACATGATAAGCTCCCAGAACAAACTGTTCTCCCCTACTGTTTTTTCTTCACTGGAAAGCTGTAGGACTTTCACCATGAATACCTGCTAGTATTTATTTCCAGTCTTCTTAGGAACAAGCTCCAGTGATGCACTTTTCTATTATTCATCTTTCCTCCATCCAACTGCTAGTTCAGGTTGCAAGATCAAAACAAGCATTCGCAACAAACATAACTGCCCCCAATACAACTCTAGCTTAGCACTGGCTAAAATACATTCACTTTGTAGATTCTACTGAAATCCTTGTTTTGTTTGAGACTGACTTCATCTGCATGCCAAAAACCAGATTGCATGCTTCCAGCTCCCTCTTTCTCATCTCCCTCCCAACAACTTCACAAGAATTTCAAACAAGAAAAGGCTGGCAACTTGTTGAAGGAACACAAAGACTTTGTCCTTGCTAGCTGGAGAAATAGCACTGGTACCTGTCCATCAAGAACTTGTGGCTTTTCAGTTTGCATGTTTCTTGCTAGCAGTGTTTATCCAGGTAGCACAGATGGGGCGTATCATTTGGCAAGCTTACCTGTAAGCTTTCTACAACAAAGATGATAACAGGTGCAAGATAAGGGACATGTACAAAACCAGAGTTCATTACAAATACATTTGCATCCAAAGCAGCAGCGGCAGGACTTGGCTCTGCTTTATCTTAAAAGCATACACTTTGTGAATTCCATTCAAATACTCCCTGTATTTGCATCTGATATCACCCCAGGCAACAACATGGAACCAAGTTGTGTTTGCGTAGGCCTGCGCTTCTGCGCAAGGGCAGACAGATAAGTCATCTCTCATGACAATATTGAGTTTTCAGGGTGGCTCTTGAAAAACCAGAGCCAAAATTGTCCCCACAGAGAGCTGGGTTTTCAAAGGAATGCCTTAGATAAATAGCAATGCCTTCTCAGTTCTGACATCCTCATTTTGATGTCAAAGTGGAAGCCGAGCAGCTATGTGCTAAGCCCTTGAATATCTGGCTCCAAGTCCTGCTTCTGCCTGTGTGCTCAGAGAATGTGGTACAGCTCTGGAGAGGTTCTTGGTCAGAGGGGATTAGTAACCCACAATTAGGAGAGAGTCTGAGGTTAATTAGAATGATCTGTGTGTGATACTATACCCTTATTCTGAGTTACTCTCTGCAGAAGTCCTGTTTTGCTCCACTGGCTAAAAAGAGATAAGAGACTATCCTAAGAAAAGATAGGTATTGAAAGGTATCGTGCAACAGAAGTTGCATGACCTGAATACCCACTGCTTCACTCACGGCTTTGCAGCATGAATCAGAAATAACTGAAAGCTGTTTAACATCCATAAATGTGCTTGATGGCATATTTGAAGTGCATTGAGAGATTCACCTATCCCTATCCAGGGAGTAAAACTGATCCTCACGTAAAACTGCAGGAGGTTTGAGAATACCAGGTGGGCAGCAATTCCTGCTGAGTGCAGTGGAGTGTGCCCATGGTTGGCAAAGGTGTCAGTGGACATGGAAAAAAAGAGCTGTTTGCTTTCACTCAGGACACTCAGTTCAGTCCTTCAGCACACAGCCAGAGAAGCACACAGTGGTTCTCATGCTTCATAAATTCGAGACCTTTGTTCTCCACTGTCATTAGTATAGCACCTCTTGCAGTTTTCATCTGTGATTGAAACTGGGGAGTGCAAAATGGTAATAAGAAATGTTTATAAACACATTTATCTACAGGCAAAACCACAAAAAATAAACACACGCAGCAGCAACAAAGATGAAACCTCTTCACTGCAACGTCATTTTGAAACTTTTTATCTACTTCGCAATTAAAGACTTTATTATTTAAACCACGTAAAATGGGATAAGTGCATTTTAATGTAGCTCACTGCTTGTTACCACATGCACGAATGTATTATTCTGTGGCCAGGAATGGAACGACTGCAGTTAGTCATGTTTTGTTAGTGTACTCCCTTAAAACAAAGATTTTTGGCTGAGTATTTTTTGTAGTTCAGGTACAAAATAACTGCCACATGCCTGTTACCTGTGGCATGCAACTGGACAGGAAATACTATGGCTACTCCACAAAGATTTTTTCCTCAACTCTCATACTGGAATGAATCCAGGATTATTCAGCAGAGGAAAATGAGAGGGGGCAGGAATATATCCTTGCCCATACAAGCACAGGTCCCCATTCTTATTTCTTCTCTTGTTGTTACAGGTTAGGATGCTGGTGTCTCTCATCTTCCAGCCAGTACCTCAGCCTCCATCCTGTTGGATATCCTGAGGTGGGTCTCTTCTTCCTTTATCTTCTGTATGATGACTTTTTGGGCACTAGCACCTGAATACAAGTAGGCCTCTCATATTTCAGGCTCTGCTTGGCTATCATGGGATAGCTCAGGGTCTCTCCCATTTATATGCTGACAAGTACTATCTGCATATCTATAAGAGTTGTTGGTTATAACTGATTGGTATTTTCTGATATTTTTTCCCCCTGAAATCCCATTTTAAAGCAATAAGTGAATTATCTCTGCCTAAACCAGTCACAGTTGTCACTAGCAGTTCTGCTAGTGCTACGATCAATACGGACTTGAAGAAGCTTTTTGTTAATTATTCATGGTGTGTGACGTTTTTGTTTAAAGTGAAAAAAAAGAAAGTAATTTAATGAGAACGGTGAGGGTGCAGAATGACCAGAAACAAATGTCAGTGCGCTGAGAAAGAGGTCAGGACTTTTATAAGACACCTGGTTAATTCTTCTCTTACTAAGGGTTTAAATCAGTTTAGCAGTGTTTTGGTTCATTCAGAGATTAACAAAATTTAATATTTTATAAGATTTATTTATAATACCCTTGAGGTTTAGAGTATGTTTATGTAACCTTTCTGCCAGGAATTGGCAGCAGCTGAAAGAGCTGGATTCATTTGTCTAGGGGTTCTCTCTGAAAACTTAAACAACAGCAGTTTCAGCCTCCACCCAGAAATCTACCAAAGCTAAATGACCTCCTTTGGGTGCCCTGACAAACATAATTCCTGCTCAAGGCAGAGCAGGGATTCAAAACAAGGTCCAGAGTTTTGAGACAAAGAGAACTTTAGAGACGAGGGAAAGAACAGAGGAAAAGGGAAGAATAAAGACTCAGCATAAACCCACAAGAGCCACTAATCAATAAAATAAATAAGGTTGGGGTGAGATTCCCAGGCTTCCTTTCCTCCTCTCGCCTGTGTTGTCTTGCCATGACACAAAATAAAAGCTTGCTCTCATTTCCAAACAGAAGTCTTGTGACTTGAATGTTGCTGCCCACTCAAAGCTTGCCCCACATGCACTGTGTGGCTCCAGTTCAGTTAGCTCTGCTAACAAACATGTATATTACTGGACATGATCAGGAGATCCTCCTCGCTTTCCCTGCTGGTTCTCACAGTGAACTGATTCACACCACCAGATTGCTACAGCACTAACTCAGCAAAACAGAGCAGTGAAACTGGAAGTAGGATGGCAAGGCTGAGGACAGAAAGCTCAGCTGCTGCTGCTGCTTCTACTAGTAACTACACACAGTTCGGTTTGGTGTAGTTTTAAGATAAGACAGTTCTTAAGCGTAGCAAGCTTTATGTTAACGTATTGGTTTATCCTCATCTAGGCCAAACTTGGAGAGAGCACAGCTGCTCTGCTTGTGACTACAGGACTAAAATGACTGCACTGTCAGCTAGCACTGCAGACAGGCTGTGTCCAGCACAAGGTCCAGCAGTGTCCCAGCCTGCACCCAAAGGCTTTTAAGTCATCCTCCAGTGATGGACACAGTCCAGAGGAAGGCACAAGGACAAGGAGAGGGCTGGAGAACCTCTTCTACAAAGACAGGCTGAGGGAGCTGGCCTTGTTCAGCCTGGAGAAGGCACAGGGGAGACTTCAGTGTGACCTTCCATTACATGAGGTCAGCTTATAAGCAGAGGGGAGACCGGCTTTTTACACGGTCTGACAGTGATAAGAAAAGGGGGACGGTTTTAAACTAAAAAGAGTTATATTAGTTGTCAAGGAAAATTTTCACTGTGACGGTGGTGAGGGCCTGGCACAGCTGCCCAGAGAAGCTGTGGGTGCCCCATTCCTGGATGCGTTCCAAGCCCAGGCTACGTGGGGCTCTGTGCAATGATCCGGTGGGCAGCTGCCCTGCCCGCAGCTAAGAACTCGGTGAGCTTGCGATTCTTTCCAAGCCAAGCCATCCTATGAGGATGCCAGGACGGCAGAGGGCTCGTGCAGAGCCTGGTCTCCCCTGAAGCCTCATCCCGCGTGTGGTACCAGTGCTGCGTTGCCTGGCAGTGGCCTTCTGTGAACGCCGCCAGTCAGAGTTTGGGACTGCTGCAAGAAGAGATTTCATCACCTCGCCCCTCCAGGCTCAGCGGGTGCTGTGTGAGGCCCCACGCTGCGAGGAGCAGCGGCGCCCGCCTCAACCCTCCGCAGCAGTCAACAGCGGAGGCCATTTGCAGGACAACAAAAGGCCACGCGGCGCTCCAACGCCCGGGCCGCCACCGCGCGTTCTCGGGCGCCGCCTACCGACCCCCTCGATCCGTGCGCTCCCCGGCGCGGCGTGAGGAACGGGCCGCCCCGTGGGCTGGGGCTGACTGACGGCAGGGGCGGAACGACGCGGCGCTGCGGGCAGCATGGCGGCCGCCACGGCTGCGGGTGGGCTGCGGTCTGCGTCGTTTCCCCGTGTGCTGAGGGCGGTGGGGGCCCGCGGAGGGCTGCCGTGGCCGCGAGGCGGGAGGGCGGCGGCGGCGGGCTGGAGCAGGCCGGAGCCCGGCGGAGAAGCGCAGTACTGCGCCGAGCTGCTGCGGTGAGTGCGGCGTGGGGAGGCCGGGCCGCTCCTAGCCCGCCTCGGGGGTGGGGAGAGCTGCCGTGCGACGCGGGCAGGGCGGCCCGGCCCGACCGGGGATGGGGCTGCGGGGGGCGGGTCGGTCCCAGTCACGGAAGATAAGATGGATTTGACTCCTTTTTTTTTTTTTTTTTTCCCTTTTATTCTGTTAAAAACAGACTACTTATGGCAGCTCGCAAGCATTCAGGGCAGTGAAACGAAGTGTGCTTGTGCTTTTGACGTCGCCGCTGTTGATTCCCACGCCGATTGGCATGGGAATCGTAACAGCTCCGGGGAATGAAAAGGCCGACGGGGTCGAACAGAAATAAATCGCTTCGGGCGGTGCAGGCAGCGCTCATTTGTTTATTACAATAAAAACTTTCTTTCTGGGGCATGAAAGCTTTACATCTCTGCCCAGGTTGAGCAGTACGGTCTGTTCAGAAACAGTTCCTTGGTTTTGAGCTGATAATGCTTTGCAGAAATTGTCTTAAACTGAGGAAGGTTTGGTGCGTTTGTTTTTTAATTAACAGCTGTTTACGAGGGTGGACAGTGATAGGACAAGGGGGAATGGTTTCAAACTGAGACGGGGGAGGTTTAGGTTAGATGTTAGGAGGAAGTTTTTCACTCAGAGGGCGGCGACACACTGGAACAGGTTGCCCAAGGAGGCTGTGGATGCCCCATCCCTGGAGGCATTCAAGGCCAGGCTGGATGTGGCTCTGGGCAGCCTGGTCTGCTGGTTGGTGACCCTGCACATAGCAGGGGGTTGAAACTGGATGATCATTGTGGTCCTTTTCAACCCAGGCCATTCTATGACTCTGTGATTCTATTACGAATGTGGCTGAAAGCCAGAAATGCCTTTTTTGGTTGATATTTGTGGCTTCAGGCTCTAACACAAGTTCCAGAAGTATTATGAGAATTCTTAAGCATTCGCTTGTTATCAGCTGTTGTGTGTTTAGGGGGTAAGAACAGCTGTTAAATTTCATTTCCTTTTTGTTTCACGCTAAAAGTAGCAACCCCCAGTACTACCCCCTGGTTTGGTTTTGCTATCTTAAGCTCACATTCAAAAGAAATAGGAGTACATTTAAGGACAAACTTCATGAAAATTAGTAAATATTTAACTAGATGCTTGCTGCTCTGCTCTTAAGGCATAACTCGGAGTTACTACTTTTGTTCTCTTGAAGAATCACGTTCCTAGCTTATCAAAAGTACACAAACCATTGCTCAAATCAGGGAAGTGAGCATTTCTGAGGTGACCAAGTGTTTCTGGTAGTTACACCTACATATGATTTTGCAGTTCATAATCATTCTCCCTGTGCTCTGATTGTTCTTCATTTAATGGCGCACCCAAGCGGCCAAACAAAAGTATACCAGTTTAGATTGACAGCAAGTGCCGGAGTTCTTATACTTTTAGTATAGTTGTCAATAAACCAAAATGTAATGGTTAATCCATTGCTCTTCTGTTGAGCTTCAACGTGTGGTCTTTCAACAAAATGTGGTTTCATATTTAGAACAGAAGTCTGGAAATCAGACAGTGTGGATTCTGTTTGCAGTTCTTCTACAAGCTTGTTCCATGCCTTTAGCCAAATATCTTGAGATCTGGATTTGAGCAGCGCATTGAGAGTTCAGATTGCATTCCCCCCTCTTGGAGCCTGCCTTATTTCAAAATAAGCTTAAAAGGTGCTGCTTTTGCAAAAAATTGGACTTTTGAACTGTAACTTGCTGCTACTATTTTAGGAGCCCTAAACTAAGCAACAGCATGCCTGATTTGCATGGAGCTATAAATAATATATCCATTCTTTTTGTCCTTTTATAGAAAGCGTGACTATGAAGGGTTTCTGTGTTCTCTGCTGTTGCCTGCAGAATCTCGAACCTCTGCTTTAGCCTTGAGAGCATTCAATGTGGAACTGGCTCAGGCAGGTATTAAAATACACTTGTGAACTCTGGGAATGTGTAATTTAGAGTTTCAGAACTGTTATTTAACAAGCAGCTGGTGTTTTGCTGAGATTAACTTTTCATATTATAAAGGGCAATGAAGAAAGTCAGTACAAACCTCTAGTTTTGAGTGGCCCTTGGAAAATTGTCCCCCCGCTTTATTTTGTTCATGTGTATAGATGTTGTGACTCTTCTTTATGCTATGTATTTTCAAAATTATGTGATAACAAACAGGCTGTGGTACTGGTATGTGATTGCATCTCTGCTGGCTTCAAAAGCACTGAGTGAATTAGAAAAGTGTAGCTAACCCCTATTTGTAAAACGCCCATCAGAATTTTGGGTGAAGGAGTCAGATGCTGGTAAAAGCAAAGTAAAGGAAATACTACTAAGAGAGAAGTTTGTAATTAGAGATTTGTGGTATGGGAGTGGCTGCAGTCTCTCACCTTTGCTGGATGGCCAGAAACTTCTAATGCAACCACAGAAGTTTGTGGCACTTGCCAGAAGGAAGCAGAGCAGTTCAAGATATGTGCTTACTCAGCAAACCCTGTGATAAGCCTCTGTGGGCTGTGCTTCTGGCAGCCTATAGTGCTTCCCTCCCTCACTGCTGTTACCACTGCTTCTTATCCTGAGAAGAACGCCAAGGTGGGAATTGTCTTGGACTTAAACTCTGTGTGTTCCAAAGTCACCTTGTGGTGAATATTTCATTTTTATTTATTCTCTGTAGTGGTTGTAAGTTTCATTAGGAGTGAGCAAACTGAGAACAGAGCCCTTTTCCTAGTGAGTTAGTCTGTCTGAGTTTTCAGTAGAGGCAGACCATAGTGCCTTAAGGAGACTGTGAATTTCACTCCAGATGTATCCTTTTCAGATTAAAGACTCCATAACTCAGAAGACTACAGGTTTGATGCGAATGCAGTTCTGGAGGAAAGCTGTGGAAGATATATACTGCAATAACCCACCACATCAGCCAGTTGCTGTAGCACTGTGGAGGGTAAGATACATCTTTGTTATCCTGAAGTTCACTTGATGAAAATACTGCTGTGAGAAAAAATGTTTTCTATGTGTTGTGTTGCATTATTAACTATTATTTTATATAAAACAGTTAATTTTGTATGTTAAGCATGTATGTCTGTATGGTACCTTCTCACCTACAATTACAGAACAGAATCAGAGAAGGAGGATATTTAGGTGTGACCTAGTTGAAATCATGGAATCACAGAATGGCTTGGGTTGGATAGGATCCAGTTCTAACCCTGCTGCTTATGTGCAGGGACGTCTCCCACTAGGCCAGGTTGCTTAAACAGTCCAGCAATGAGATATCCACAGCTTCTGTGGGCAGCCTTTTCCGGTGTCTCACCATTCTCATAGTAGAGAACTTCCTATAGTCTAATCTAAATGTTCCTTTTTTTTAGTTTAAAACCATTACCCCTTGTTACATTTCTCTGATAAAAAGCCTCTCCCTATCTTTCCCATAAGGCCTCCTTTAGTTACTGCAAGGCCACTGTAATGTGTCTCTGGAGCCTTTGCTTCTGAAGGAGTGAAGAAGCCCAGCTTACTCAGCTTTCTGGTAGGAGAGGTGCTCCAGACCTTGGAGAGTCCTCATAGGCTCCTCTGAGCCCACTCCAGTGGCTCCACATCTTTCTTATGCTAGGGGTCCCAGGCCTGGATGCAGTACTGCAGGTGGGTTCTAGTGAGAATGAAGTGGAGCAGGACTATCAGCTCCCTTACCCTGCTGGCCATGCTGCTTTTAACGCAGTGCAGGTGGCTTTCTGGGCTACAGGTGCACGCTGTTGACTCATACTGGGTTTCTCATTGACCAAAACTCACAAGTCCTTCTCTGCACTGTTACTCTCAATCAGTTTTCTGCCCAGCCAGTATTGTGTTTGGGATTGTCCCAGTCCATTTGTTTGGCCTATCGTTTGGCCCTTCTGAGCTCCATGAGGTTCGCATGGGTCCATCTCTTGAGTCTGTTGAGGTCATCCTGGATTGTCACTTCCCTCCAGTGATGCTGTTGGCAACTTACTGAGTGTGCACACAATCCCACTGTCAGATGTATCTTTCCTAAGCAAGTGCTGGTCCTGCCTGAAGAGCAAGTTTTACAAAAAGACAGGAGACAAAGCACAGGCATTAATCTAGCAAATTGTGTATGAGGAAAAGCCCAAGACCTTCATACCCAGTTACTGGGTAACAGGGAGAATCTTCATACAGCCTCTCTGCTTGCTAAAGGGTTGCTTGATGACTTCTATTCATATGATAATCTGTGCAGATCCTTTTGTGTCTGTTGAGTAACAGGAAATGTACTTGTGAACTTAAAAGTTTATTTTTACCAAGACATCTGTATGTGAATTCTAGCAAGCACCAGAACATTACTCGCAAAGTACGCCCACAGACCTGTTCCTCTTCGAGTCACGGCTGAAGAAGAAAATTTCTGTGCAGATTTTTTATTTCTAAGTAGAGCTGCAGTTGGGAAGTTCATCAGATAACTGAAGGCGTTATAAATTGATCTCTCCGTGATCATGATTTAGAGTCACAGAATAATTTAATTGGCATGGGCCTCGGGTCGTCGTCTAGACCATGTTCCTACTTAGAGCAGGTTGAACTTCAGAGCTAGTAGATCAGATTTTCAGAGTCACGTTGAGTTGAGTTTCTTCAGAGATAGCAACTCTGTATGGTGCTAGCTGGTCATCTTAGGGCCACAGGTCACATCAAGTCTTAAGCCTTACACAGGTGCTTTTTTGAAAGGTTCTGTAAGATCAGATCTTGTGTTTAAACTGGGGATCTCTGGGCTCCTGGACAGAGAAGCTGCAGTTTGTCTAGGTCTCCATAGCTGAATACAGTTTTAGCGTAGATCCCTTAGGTAGTTAGTTGTATGACCAGTTGAAAAGCAGACAGACAAATATGGACTCTTCATCCAAGTATTCATTTGCTTTCTTTGCATTAAAAATCCCTGACTCCCACTGTAATGCTGGGTTGGAACAATGCAAATCCTGTGGGACTGGAGTGTTTTAACGTTAGTTCTCTTTTGCACCTCTGAGAGCACAAAAATGAGTTCTTTCCAAATCTTCTTTGAATGACTGTTGAAAGTGCTGAAACTGTGGCCTGTCCCTGGTTGTTCTTCCCTCAAGTGTGAAATAAAGCATAAGTCAACATTTGTTCCTCTGTCAATACGTGGGTTAAAATTGGATTTAAACAAGATACTGTTTGCTTAAGCAAGGGAAAACACAGGTGAAGCCAGGAAGTAAAATAAAGGAAGAACACCTTCCAGTCAATCATTTTTAGGAGGTGCAGAGCTATCCATGGGTGTCTTTAGCTCTTATAAAGTGTGCCACTGCCACAACAAAGCGTCCATACAGTTAGAATAAAGACTGGCAAATGTTGCAAGCCTTTTTTGCTGAATTATGGGTATTAAAATATCACCAATGCTCCATCTTTAATACAAACAGTAGAATGCAGTATTGATAGTTCTGCGTGTCAATCTGTCTGTGCCTTTGAATTTTTTATTCTTTCTGTTTCAGTGTATGGCAAACTGCCCAGAAACGGATTGTTTTCTCCCCAAATGCTTGTCTCCTTTCCAAGGAGGAACTTGCTTTTTTTGTCAAGTTTATTTTTGTTTCTGAAAACATCCTCAATTTTAATTGTCTGAGTAGATTAGGTACAAATTGGTTTTGGATATGATTGTATGTATTCTTTCCACTACTTCTAATTTCAGGCTGCTTATGTGTATATCAGCGTGGGGCAGAAATGTTTGTTAGCTAAAGATTAACTTTCAACAAACACAGTTCAGATATAAATTGCAGCCTTTGCCACCAGCTAGGAGTGCTAATCATGCTCTGTTCTCACACAGGAAGTTGTTTTTGAAGTAGAAGAAAGAATTGGCCTATCTGTATAGTAAGACTTGACCTTATGTGTGGCTTCTCTGATAGAAGACAATCCAAATAGAATAGGTTGTGAAGTAAGGTGTTGGGAAAAGGTCTCAAAGTATTTCTGGGAGCTCTGCTACTTCTGACTGCTGCAGAGCACTGTAATGAGCTACAGCACAGCCTGTCCTGGTGACCTCTGCACTCAAGATACGATTTAGCTTCTGTATTTCAGCAAATACCCCAAGAATGTCTTATTTGAAGAGTGCAACTTTGCAAATCTTTGTGAGTATCATTGCAGTTCTGAGAAAGTAAGATTAAGAAATAGACATCTGGGCTCTTAGGTATTGCAGAGCTGTTAACAGAACTAGCATGCCTTTCACACAGTATATTTTGAGTACACTCTGTTCCCACTGTTGAGTTTGAATGCAGACAGTTCTGATTTTCCAGAAATACTGACTTATTATGTTAAACTTTTCAAAAAGTTTTGTGTATTGCAGAATACCCAAATTTGGATTCTGAGCGTATTCTCAATTCTGGATTGTGCGTGCTAGTGAAGAATAAATAGTCTGTAAAAATATTTCTAGAACTGTGAATGGCTCAACTCTTAGCAACTTGAATACAAATTTAGGTGGCAACCTCGTTCTGTTTGTTCTTACGTGTAGATCCATTTTGAACCAATGCAAAGTGAGCTCTGGTCCTCTGCTCATTTCTGGGCAAAATGAGAACTTAGGTGAATGATGGTAGCTTAAAATGGATGTAACACACAAGTAGGGTAATTCAGCAGAGCTTGGACTGTTACAGGGACTTTATTTGCCAACTCACTCCTCAGATGAATAAGTGAGAAGCCAAACTGATGCGTAGGTGTAACTTAGAACTCACTTTTTTGCACACCTGGTGTTTCCCCAAAGCACAGTTAGCTGAATCAGCAATAAGACCTAGTTTTACCAAGCTTGGAAAAATACTTACAAATATAATGTGTGTACAGAAGTAGGTAGTGAACTGTAAGGGTGAAGATTGAGAAATCTGCCCCATAAGTTTTGTTTTTAAATATAAATATGTATGATTATAGTCTTGCTGACAGTGTGGTCTGCTGAATCCATGTAGGTTTGGAGGAGTGTGTGTGCATGGATGGATGGATGGGTGTAAGTCAGAGGACTGAAGAGAAGTTGAAGAGTTGTATTAAGCAAGGCAAGTGCAAGTTAAGAGCCAAAATAAGATGTGTGAATATGAAATGCTTTAATAAAAGCAAAAAACCAAAACCCACCTAAGTATCCCTAAACTGTAATATGTGATAAGTTATGTATTTTGTTATAGAAATGCTTTTAGTTAATTGATATCCAAGATTTCATTTTCTTGTGTGTATGAAGTCGAAGCAAATGCCAATTAGACAATTTTTATATTTGAAGATTCTCCTTTTTTCATTAACTTACCAGTTTGATTCAACTTTGATTCAGTGAATACAGGCCTTGTGAAAAAGTACTATCAAAAATAGCTTTCAGCTGTCATAATGCAATATTGCCATCATTTTTTATACACTAACAGCATTTTTTTAATATAATTTTCAGGCAGTTAAGAGGCATAACTTGTCTAAAATGTGGTTCACGAAGATCATTGATGAAAGAGTAAGTATTTACCATTCAAAGTCTCATTCTCTTTTCAATCATATTAGACTTTTTCCCCATCATTTCATGTGTTTGTGTGTAAAACCAAAGGATAAGTAATTCATCTTCTTCAGACAATAGTATTTTTCCTGAGAAGAACACTTTTAATTTCCTTTTAATTCTCCCTTAATTCTTACAATTTCTTACAATTCTTACAATTTCTGCTCTTCTTGGCCAAAAAGGTAATAGAATCCCTTCAGAATTTAAAGCAAAGCTTGTGAGTGTGAATCTTTTTTGTTCTCTACTCTGATAATGTATCTGTGCTCACGTTTTTATACTGCAGACCTTAGTTTCTGATTTAAAGTAGTTTCCTGTAGTAGTAATCCGTGGTGAGTTACACCTGGCCTTTCTGTTTGTAACTGAGGGAAGTCCTGTCTGGTGATATTAAATGTTAAGGTTTCTATATGCAACTATTAAAAATTCTGGAAAACTGCATTTTAATAGAAATGGAAATGAAATTGTGTAAGAAGCAAACCTCATTCACAGCCTCTTTTCATGCCATTCCAGTCCTGCTCTTGGCATCTTTGTGTTCTTTTTCATCTCTTATATTACCATGTCAGTTTTGCCCCTAAATTGCCTTATCTTGTGAAGAGTCACAGGTATAAAACCTCAAAATTGGCTGAAACCTGTCTGAACTTTGCTGCCATACTTTGCTGTCTTTCTCCCTTGCATGCTCTAAGTCCGAGCTGTAAGATAATGTGAATCTAAAAATACCCACCCTATAGGAGGAGAAAAAGAGAATTTCACAGTGATGCTGCTACCAACTCGGGCACGAGGGCAAGACTGAGGGCAGGAATTGCTTGAAGTAGCTTTGCTGCTGAAGCTGGTATCTTGTGAAGTTACACTGTGAGCAAATTGACGGTCACTTACTTTCAGTGTCGTTGCTATGAAAGACTTGAGAGTTTTAAATGTTAAAACTGGTAGATTTTAGCCACAAAAGCCATTAGGACAGGAAGAATAATGTCAGAAATTCTATTCTGGGGAGTGCTTGCATGTGACTTTAAAACTCATATGTGTGATGGATTGATATATTTTGTCTTGTTTTGTGTGCGTGTTCTAAAGTGTATATTCCGGTTTATTTTCCATTCTTCAGATGCTAACAAAGTATTAAAATTAGCAATTTAATAGTTAAGAATACAATGAAATGGTTTTTATTGGCAGTATCATTTTTTCTGAATAATTTTGATTTGTCATTGCAAGAGGTTGTAATTGCTCCAGTTACAAGACTTAGTTGTGGTTATATCTACTTATCCGTACAGTTGTAGAGTTGCTATGGGCTTCAGTGCCTGTTTCTATCAGCATATACTCCTTTCATCTCTCTTAATGTTACCTTTTCTTGCTAATAGAGGATTAGGCTAATGTGAACAAATAGCTGGCACGAATAGCAGTTATACTTACCTTTTACTGAAGTTCTGTGTTCAAATTACAGGAGAAGAATTTGGATGATAGAGCATACCGTAACATCCAGGAGCTTGAAGCATATGCTGAGAACACTCAGAGTGCTCTCTTATACCTCATATTGGAAATGCTGGGTAGGTGCTTCCCAATTTTCAGATTTTGTTGATGACTCATTAATGCTGGTATGCATACACTGTTGCAAAAAAACAAACAAAAAAAACAAAAAAACAACCCTAAAAACAACACTTTTTCCACCCAATTTTCATTTCGGTAGAAGTTCTCACATGAGTTTTTTTCTGGACGCTCAACCATAAACCTGGAATCTTAGTGCAGCTACATACTCTCCTTAGAAGATAACCCAGTGCAAAGTTCACAGTAGTTTTCTACTGTTCTGTTCTTCTTGCCCCTACTATGGGGTGTGGTAAATTCAGCTCTTTACTGTGTTTTCTGTTTGTTCCACTTGGTAGAACACAGAGCACTGTAGTTAATCAGCAGCTATTGTTCTCTACTGCAGTGATACACACTGGCTATTCTGAAACAGTTCCAGTTCCAAACCTATAAGCTTCCCTTGGTTGCTAACTTGGGCTTGAATTCTCTCTCCTTCCTAAAAGCAGATTCACTATCAATAAATGAATAGCTAGAAAAAAGGCAACGAAGACAATATGATCCTTGTGGTTTAAAGCTAATGTTGCGTAGTAGAATACCCACAGACTGGAAAAGAACTGCTCACTTGAGGTGAAGAAGAGGACGATTTTCTTTGAGATTGTGCACTGCATCATGGCACTGTTGCTGTGTGAGCTCAGATGTGAGAGGCTGGTGTTTATTTATTAGTAGCATAATATTTAGCATGAATGTTGTAGTCGCAACATCAGAGTCATCTGATGGGATGTCAAAGCTGAAGTTGAAAGAATGGAAAAAAAAGAGTAGTAGAAAGAGCACATTCTTTTCAGGAGGAAATGAAGAACCCACATCTTAACATCTGATATTTGCTTTCTCAGTAAGGATTCAGTGAAATCTTGCAAATGTCTTTGAGCTTTTGATTGTAGAAATGTAGGACTATGAAAAATATCATCGTCTTCCCTGCTGAGAAATGTCTTTAATACTGAAGGATGTTTGGCTCACTTCTGTTGAAAGTCAGATGATCCTGTTCTTGAAATCTGAAGTGGGGACTCCACATTTTCTGTGGCTTCCTGTCATGTTTAACTTCTCTTAAGTGTGACAATTTAACAAAATATCTAAAAGAATCTAAGAGATCTAAAAGAATCTCCTTCACTGTACTTTAAGCAAATATCCTGTGTTTTCTTTCAAAAATGGTGAAATTAACTGAACATAGGCTAGATATTTCTTGTCAGCAGTCTTTTCTATACTACACAGACCAAGTCTTCTTTGCTAAATTTCTCGTGCTTTTTTAGCTTCTTTACTCCTGCCATCTCCAGGTGGTGTGTATCTTTCTTGTAGTAGTGCTGCTTTGTTCTACTGATTTTGGGTTACTTCTCAGGCTCATTTTGACTAATAAACTTATCTTCCAAAGTCTGCTTTCTACCACCATTGCCATAGTAACTCCACATAGTCTGCCTGTACACACTATTTCCAAAGGGTTGAAACTCAGGCAAGGCTCAGGCAATGAATCTGCTATATCTGGTATCCTTTCCATCTGTCAGGTAGGCTCACTGATCTGGTATCCTCATTTCTGTCTTTGTGGAATGTTGCTTCTGTTAGAACTCTTGCGAATTTCAGTTTTCCTTATTTTCCTTTAAATTTTCATTTTATCCTGTTTCAGCCCTGTGATCAGTATAAGCCAATATTATATGGTCTTGCCATGAAGAAGGATGATGCTGCTTTACCCCAGTCACCATCCTCTTGTCTCATTTAGTAGCCAGGCAGGAACCAAAGTTAGCTGTACTGGTTTACCGTGCTGCTATCTCATTACCCCTGGCAGCACGAGGGAGGTGGCAGACATATGGGGGAAGCATATGGCCATTCTCCTTAGCTTTGGGACACTGCTAAATCAGCTGCAGCTAATGGTTGAAACTGCGCTGTAAGCATTAATGCTGGTCAGGAATCTCACACTTGAATGATTTCTCTGGCAGGGCAAACTGTTCTTGGAATGTTGCTATCCTGAAAGAAGGTATGCCAATGTAAATGGCTCTGTGTAGCAATGGATGGCATCTGGACAGGAATCAGTGCATTCCCTACTGCTTTGCACCTCTGAGGTGAGGTCTCAAGGCAGGTTATGAACATAAGCAGCTCTGTAATGCATCAGTGCACTTGTTAGCTTTCCTTAAAAATGACTGAAGAAGACTCCTCAAGAGGTCTGACAGTAAGAAATGCTGTTTCTGCCATTTCAGGTGTGAAGGACATCCATGCTGACCATGCAGCCAGTCACATTGGGAAAGCACAAGGCATCGTTACCTGTTTGAGAGCTACTCCGTATCACTGTACAAGACGAAAGGTCTTTCTGCCCATGGACATTTGTATGTTGGTAAGAGAAACAAGTTACCTGGAACTGAACAATGTGGTATCTAACTGCATCTCTCAACACTAGGTAGGAGTTTGTAATTTATTAGCACAGAAACAGCAGGCTTTTTTTTTTTTTTTTTTTCTTCATGCTGTGGTTTCTGCTGCAGCCCAGTGGTTTTGTAGATATAAAGTGAGAGGAATGAGCTTCAGGAAGCATCAGAATATTGTTGGGTTTTTTTTTTTTTTGTTTCCCCATTTTCTTATCTTTTGTTAAATCTGGTAGTATTTCATCTTTCAGGAACTTTTCTGTTAAAATGTAGAAATACACATGCAGATTGGGGACTTCTGCCAATCTTCTCAAGTTTCTCTTTACATTACCTTTTTATAAATGTTCTGCTGTTCCTTTCTTTTTTTGGCCTTACACGATTGATAGCTATAACCATACCTTCCATATATTGCTGTATGAGATGGCATATGGTTCTCCAGTTTGAACTGTACACCTAGTTTGCATTGGAACCTAGTAGCTCTTGCAATTTGGGTAAACTGGAATTAAAGCTTGTATTTTTTCATTAATGTTTTGGAGCCATTTGTAGCCATGGCAGCAGTTACTCCTTTATCTCCACTCTGTATTTTTAAATGTTAATGCCATTCTTATGCTTGAGCGAAGTTTATGTCATTATGGTGATGCTTAAGGCACTTCTAGTCTTTACTGTATGTAATTTCAGTACAGGTGGAAGTTTTGATTTGAAGTTTAGTCACTTAAGTAGTGTGCGAAAGGCACAGTCACTAATGTAGGTCAGGTTTCTGGGACTGCAGGAAGAAGTCTGTAGGCTGAAAATTCAGTCATCCCTGCTGTGGAAGGTGTTGTACAGTGAAACTGTGTAGTCAAAGATCAGGGGACAGGCTAACAGCTTGTGTCCCTTCTGTGTCAGCATTTCAGCTGCAGGCAAGTATTGCGGAGTTGTACTTGAATCTGTACTTCTGGGAGGCTCACTTGCCTACTTTATACAGTTTTCACGTCTGAACGTTGTTGAGAACAGGAAACTGGTGCAGTTCTGAATGTACTGTATTTTATCTTCCTGGTTACTGCAGTCAGAGAATGCTGTTTAAAATGTTTTTATTTTGCAGATCTGGCATTGCCAATCCCGAAGTAAACATGGCTTCTGTGTTAACTGTTGCTGGCTTTGTTGCACTTTCTATGGTTTTCTGGAGTATGTTTAAGTTGATGTAACTTCCCAAAACTTTAAAGCTTAACACGGTTGTCTGTCTGACCGCAGTGTATTTAGGGAACAAGTCCATGCAGAGAGAGTCAGTTTCAAATGTTCTTTTATTCTCTTGAATTGTTTTCCAAGTAAGTGACAAAAAAAATTAGAGGAGTTGCAGGGAGGGGCAGCAGCAGAACACACTTGGGCTTTTTCAGGCTTAGGTCAGTAGTTTGGTTGCTGGGACAGGCTTTTGAATTTTCCTATCTTTTGTGAAGCTAAAATGGAAATGTGATATTTGTTGAGAGTTTTTTTTACTACTTGCTTTTCCTTCCTGTGTCTAGCATGGAGTTTCACAAGAGGATTTCATAAGATGCAAGCAAGAGAAAAATGTGAGAGATGTAATCTATGACATTGCCAGCCAGGCCCACATTCACCTAGAACACGTGAGATTCCTTCCCCCTTTTCTTTCTTTTGAAAAACATAGTTGATGCTGTCCTTTGCAAAGCACTGTGAATGTATTGTTAGAAGTCTTCAGATATTTTAACCTAAATTACTTTGAGAGAAGTTTCAAACCTTTAAGTATTTTACAGCTACTTCTGTAAGGATATTATATTTATCTGTAGGTACAGGAGGCAGTTTTCTCACAGCCAGGTGCAGTTGCATGTATATAAGTACTGCCTAACAGCCGTGTTACTGGGAGAGAAACTTTGAGCAGACAATTCTAAGTGCAAGAACGAGCCAGAATGGTATCAGCACCATAGGAAGGACTTGCACATATGGTACCTCACAGCACAGCAGGAGAGCTGTGACATTTTGGCTCTGACTGCTGGGTTAGTATTTGGGAGAGGGGGTTTCATTTCTCAGTGTGACCAGACGTGCACAGAACTGTGTTGGGAAATGTGTATTCTGTTTATTTCTTTTTGGGCTCACAGCCAAGTGCATTAGGAAGGGTGCTTCTTGCTTGCAGCAGTAGATAATGAATTCTGAAGACCTGCATAGTCTTTTTTCTTTTTTTTTTTTAAATAATAATTGCTGTTACTTTAGCTGCACTCAGAACCTGATGCAAAAAGCAAAAGAATGCTTCATCAGCAGCGCACTGTTAGTCTGCCTTTATCTGGAAAATAAAACTTGCAGGAAGCACTGCAAAGAGTTTTCTTTGTCAGCAGTACGTGTAGACATGTACTTCAAGTATTGCATCAAACACAGGGAGTCTGAAAAGATACTGCTTCAAAGTAAGGAAATGTTGAAATTCTCTGCATTTGCATCACAGATATAATCCTCAATTACAATGTTGGCCAATCACAAAGTATCTTCTGCAATATAGGCAGGAGAGCCCTTCTTAATTTTCATTTTTCTGAAGGTAAAATAAGGCATTCCTGGTTTGTTCTTTGTGTTGTTGGTTAGCTGATTAATTTTTAGGAGTCAAAAATATGTAGCTTCAGGCTTTATTTTTAATACAGACTATTTATAACCTGTATTAGATGCGTTTGTCTTCATGCTGTTTCACCTGATGTCTCAGTTTTTGTTGTCCTGTTCCCAAGGAAGCTGTTAATTGAAAAGTTTGAAAAAGAGGCAAAGAAAATGGAAGGTCAAAACTGCCCACATCAGTGTTCAAGCAGAAACCTCTTTTTTCTTTTTTTTTTTTTTCTTCTTTTTTCCCTACTGTACCACCTGCAGTGTACAGGGCCTGAAACCTGTTGGGTTGCAATTGTCATTACAAAAATGTGACAAAAATTACAAAAATCCGTGACAGCAGGCGTAGAAAAAAACGAGCAGTGTGCATTTATTGTGCAGCTGTTTAAAATTTTGTTGCTGATATTGCACAAAAGCTTTGGGAGAGAAGCAAAGAGAAAATTCATCTCTTCAGAGCTTTTCAAATAATAACTGTGTGCCATTCTCACTGTGATGGTCCCCCATCCCTCCATGTCAAACTGCTGCTGAAGTGAGCAGTCAGAACCTTACTCCTTTTCCTCCCTACCCCATTCCTAGAGTCCTGCCCATGTCATGCAGGGAGGGCTCTGTGGATGTGATTACATCATTGGAGGCTGTGCAGAAAACATGAACAGAAGGAAGCCAAGTTAGAGCAACGCTAGCATATTATTCAGTAATCTTAATTAAAAAAAATCTCTTAATACACACTACCAAACTCCATCATCATCCGTGAAGAATAACGGGCAGTAGAGTTTCTGAAGTGTTCGAACCGCTTGAAATTGGCAGTAATAATAGGGTATTAGCCTCCTTCGTCATCAGAGAGTCTGTGTAAGATACAGATACTTTTTCCCTAATGGAGGAAATCTCAAGACTTCAGGTAGATGCAGTGGCTTAGTGCCTTTAAATGCACCGGTTTTCCTGTATAAAATTGCCATTTTGTTTTGCTTAAGCATGTTATCAGCCACTCGCCCTCTGACTTGGAGTTACAGGGAGTGGTGAAGCTTAAACCTGCAGAGGTTTTAAGAGTCAAAGAACTGACATGAGCCACACGTGCTTTGGAGGATAACAGTTGTTATGCCTACTTCACAGTCAGAAGGAACAATCTGAAAACACTAAATAAATCTCAGGGATATTATGTGAAATATATTGTAGTAAAGTGGCACTTAATCTTGTGAGAGAAGTTTCTGAAGCATGGTCAGCTCTTTTTGATGCTGTTGATACCGCTGACCAGCAGAGGGCAAAGTAAGACAATGAAGGTTGTGGTTTTCTTTAGGAACGTTGTGTTTTATCAGAATAAAAGCATATGATGAAGGTGCTGTGTCAGTCCCACACAGCCCTTTGAATTCTGTCAGCAGTCTTCACTTGTTCCCCGTCTTTGTCTTCAGTACTATCTCCTGCATTTTCCCAAGAGGACTCCTTTTGGCCTTTTGCCTTTATCTTGATTATGGTACATCAGTTTGCCAGGGAAGATAAGGTGCTTTCTAAATGGCAGTCATGCAGACCCATTCTGAGTTAAGACAAGCAAGATTACTTTTTTCCTTTGCTCTTACAATAGCAATAGTAAGCTAGATCAGAGAAGGTAAGTTTCCTTTTACATGTATGCACGTTAATTTCATCTCAGATTTTTAAAATAATTTGCCATCTGAAAAGATTCAGTATTTTTCCCTCCTAAAGTTTTAGGCATGTTTTCTCAGTTATATGGGAGGAACCATGGAAAACTAACAGAGACTCATAAATGCTCACCAGTATTTGTGAAGAGTATTTTTGTTTGCTTGTTGTTTTTAGCATGTAAGAAGAGATGAAACAAGGAGGGATTCTATATTTATAATTAAGCCCTACAGGAAGATTTGCTGTAGCTGACTTGCATGTGCATTTAAACTGTGGAGTTGATTCAGCCGTGATTTAGTGTGCAGTGTTTACACACAGACACTGAGGGCCTGAGGCACTGAGATACTTGCAGAGTCTCATGAACGTAGAGCATAATTGGACTTCTGGAACTGATGGTAAGACTGACCCAAAAAGATCCACTCAGAGAAATGCATTTCTGGTCCATCGGTTCTGTCTCTTGGGATGCAAAGAACTATTTGATATAGTGCCATATTTTAATAAAGATGATGCCATATTTATTAAAACAGATGCAACTTGGAACTTTGCAGGAACTGAGGGATGCTAATTTACATTGTTATATTATTATGCAAGCTGTAAGGTTGTCAGAAGGTTAAAGAATTCTAGGAAGGATCTCCCAACGTAGTACACTTTTTGCATAATTACTTTGTGTACATTGAGGGATGGTGCTGGTTTACCCATAGTAGTTTCTGTATGTCAGAGAACAGCACATTTTGTTGGCTCTAAGCATTATATATAGTACTTTATATTTAGTCTGAAACATTAAAATGTTCTGATAAGTACATTTTTTTTTTTTTTTTACTTCCTTTCCATCTTATCCCATTTACTTTCAGGCTAGATCTTTCAGTAAGAAAGTTCCTGTGAAGGCATATCCTGCTTTCTACCATACGGTGGGTGTGATATCATGCAGTGTTGAAATGATGACCTTGCTTTTGTGCTGATACGTTTGTGAAAAGTAGAGGCTCAAATGAAGCTTAAACTAATTAATTAAAATTGTTAACTAATACTTTATACGTTCACAGGAAAGCATAATACCTGAAACTTATTCAAGACTTTATTTAGATACTACTGTGGAACCTCGTAATTTGAGCAAAACTTTTACTCTTTTAACTACAGAATTTCTCTAGTACTGTCTGTACTCTTAGACAATCTTTCTAATGTAAGGGGCCAAAATCTTGTCTATTTTTATTCATTTTCTGGTTGATGTAGTGAAAGATAACAAGAGAAGCTTGTCTTCTCAAAAGTTGTTTTTTGTGTTTTCTTCGAATGTGATGGCTACACTACACATGCTGAAACAGACATACTGTCAAGCCTTCTTGAATTCCTAATCTGGTTGCATGTATCACTTTAAATTTAATGCCCAATTAGCTGCGTGCACCACACGGACTAAGCCTTTTTTTCTTTTCTTTTCTAGGTTGCTTTAGATGATTATTTATATAACATACGGAAAGTGGACTTCAATATATTTCACCCGAGCTTACAAAAGAGGAATACATTATTGCCGTTGTATTTATATATTAGAACTTGGAAAAAAACATATTAAAATTTTCTTAGCATGAAGTTTGGATTGCTGCTTTTTTTTTTTTTCTCTCTTTAATGACTTGATAGAATTGTGAAGTGTCTGCATTCACACTTCTGCAAACTGTACAAACTGCTGTTCATGGGAAGTAGCGGATGTGCACGAACTGTAGCTGTCAGCTTGCTGGCAGTAGTGAAATTTGTTCTTGGAATACTAGGCTGATATCTGTGCTTCACACGTCTGCCAAGTCATCTGTCCTTGTCTGAGATTACTTTCCTTGTCTCTTTTCTTGTAATAACAGTAGTGTGGTAGAGTTCTTCTCGGACAAATTCTGTGCTAATGGATACTTGTAAGGCTTTATACCTTAGTGACAAAAATCCAAAACCAACTCCCAAAAAAACCTTTGTACTCCAAAGCAGTAAAGTCATTTCAGCAAATACATTGTGTATCAATTAAGCAATTCTGTTTAGAGCAAAGTGCAAACTTTTTGTGCTATGATGCCTCATAGCTAAAAGAATGACTGCATATATTTGGATGTAAGAAAACTGTCAGGAAAAGCTTCAGCTTCCTTAATTACCTAGTGTTTATGTAGCATTTCAAAATGATGAAATTAGACCTGTAGTAGAGAAATTACTTAACTAAATGTTGAAGTTGGGCTTTAGAATCCTAGAAAAGCTCCAGGTTGGAAAAGACCTTAAAGATCATCAAGTCCAACCACAGCCTGACCATACTACCCTAACTATCAGCCCTCTGCTAAATGATGTCCCTGAGCACCACATCCAGACAGATTTGAAGCGCATCCAGGGTTGGTGACTCAACCACCTCTCTGGGGAGCCTATTGCAGTGCTTAACAACCTTTCTGTAAAGTTTTTCCTAATATCCAACCTGAAGTGACTCTGAGTAGTAGGAGAATGGCTTTCCAACAGATAGAACTCTTACATGGTTATTATTTCTAACTCAGCCAAGCACTTCCGCTGTGCTCTGAGCTTGGCATTGTCTTCCTCCTGCTCTCTCTGTTACCGGCCACAGCTGTCACTGCCATGTGGGTCTGAGAGCCCCTTTATTCACATTCACTGTATCTCTTAGGACACCCTCCAATGTAACTTCACTGAATTCTTTCTCTTTAATACTATTAAGAGATGCATTCTTGGATGGTGCTGGGTCATTTTAGTCCTCCCTCTCTGCAAATGTACTGCTCTGTTTTTTTGGTGGGGAATTACAGGGAGCTTTGTACTCAGCATCTTTTAAGATCAAACTTTAAGTGCAAAATACTTGTTTTTTAGCAAAATAATACTTCCTAACATCTAGCTTGATTCAGTTGCACAAATCCAGCAGTCTCCTCTGCCATCATCCTCATTCTATTAAATAGCTTTTATCCTAGAGATTTTTTTCATCAGAATTAATCTCTCCAGATGCTTGGTTGTATAACAGCATCCTGTATTTTGGTGTACAATGCTGCACAGCACGTTTCTGAGAAGATTGGTGGCTTTTTTAACCACAGAATCTGCAAGCGTGGTGGAAGTCTCAGGAACCCAATGTTAAGTCCTTCATTCAGTGGTTTTGTTATATATGTTTGAAGTTGGTTTGTGATGTAGATCTTAGTTAATTCTGTATTTTCCTATGCCTCAGTAAAACATTTCTCTTTGAATTTGTTCAGCTCATGGTCTTGCTTTCTGTATTAGAAGTGTAATGGTCACGGTTGAGATGAACCTATAAAAGTCTGCATATACTGCATCAAGAGTCCTCTGGATATTTTCTGAAAGTAAAATTTTAACTGGTTCTGTCCTCAACTCAGCTGCTGTATCTTAGCATTGGTGTTCTTGAATTGGGCAAAGGGGTGTGGCGAAAAGAAAATCCTCTCTCCCATTGCAGGCACCACAGCCCTTTCTGCCAAATTAAGAGCAAAGGCTTAGGCTCTGTTGCTACTAGCAGGCCAGCTGCACATTCACTCTGTTTATGTTCTGGAGAAAGCATTACAAATGTCTCTTTCTGCAGTTGGTCCTCGTTTTGTTCCCAGCATGCTGAGTCAGGACAATAGAGGCAGCCCTGTCTTTCCTTTCAAAAGGAATCGCTCTCCTGTAAAGTTAACTTTTGGCAGGAACTTGGTACAGTAACTCAGCAGCTATGGAGGAGGAGGAAAAGAAGAAAAACATGCAGTATAACAAGTACATTGAGTTGCTACAGTGATATCTTGCTTCCAAGCCACAAGGCCAGTGCTTTGCTTTGGTGTTGAAGTGGAACAAATCTTGACAGGGCACTTACAAAGGAAGCAGTGGAAGAACTGATTGGTTGTAATGTGGAAAAGAGACTGTGTGATGCACTGAATGGTAAGTGTGGTGAGAGGAGCTTATCAGTGAATTAGTAAACAAGATATGGAGTAACGGAATTCAAGTTATGATTTTATCACAAGAGAGTTGTGACTTGAGAAAGTAAAATAGTTTGAAATGGAAGTGATAGGAGACTGACCTGAATAAGCGGCCGATCTCATTTGTATCCTTCAAGGAACAGTTTTCTTTTCTGGATGGTCGTTCCAAATTTGGCCCTTAGAAACTGAGCTGTGAGTGGGAGCGTTGAACACCTGTCGAACAAGGTAGCTGTAGTATGCGTGCTTTCACTAGTGCTGTCCCTTTTTATTTCTTCCTATTAATTGGTGCCTTAGGAGAAACCCTGCTTGTCAGTTCTGATAGTTTGTAATTTGGCATCCTACAGAAACATCCTCTTTTGCTTTTTTTGTTGGATCTGACAAAATATCTTCTTATAGTGGTGTTAATCTACCAGTCATTCATATCAGAAGAAAACTAGCATGTTGCTAGCTGCTAATTACATGCCTGAAAATAATTTCCGTGCCTAATTAAATACTGTGTAATTAATTTAGCTCGTGTAAAATAGCAGTCTAGCTGCTGGTGTACTCCTCTAGCTTTACGTGACGCCTTGCGCATCTATTTGACCATTAAGATCTTGTTTTCTCTTGGTTAAGCACTGAATTTTGTTTTCATCTTTCTTTTCAAAGTAGCTTACTGGAGTGTTCCAGAGTCTCTTTCCACTTAGACTTGCAGGTTTAAGATTGTAAAATGTAATTGTACTGTTCTTGTAACAGATTGCATCTTATCTGCAACATGTAAAAACTATGCTGTCAAAAGTTCTGAACAAACAAACTGATATCAGATATCACTTGACCGATGATCTCGAGTTTGCAGTTGAGTTTGTTTCCACCTTAACCTGAGTAAAAAACAAAAGATTTCAGGGAAAAATGCTAAAATCTCATCACAATTGAGATTTACATCCACCGGACTGCACCCACTTCTCTCAGACATTCAGAACTTTGCGTGTGAATATTTGCATCTTGTTATGGTGCCACAGGAGCCAATTAGATGATTATGAGCAATCTGTGCCAAAATAGTGAGGATTTTGTTTTCATATTGTTGTCATGCCAGGCTAAGACCTGAACTACAAAAAAGCATTATGCTGAATGTTCTCACAATTCCATTTGCTGATGGCAGTTGTGTGTTCCTAAAATTTACACCTGTCCTTTCCCAAGCATTTCCACCTTTTCTCAGCTTTTGTGAATCTTGCTCTAAGTGCAGATTTTTTAACAATGTGGCTGACTGTCAGTTGTGAAACTTTAAATTGTGAAATAATAAGTGGTTGAGATCTTTCTTTTGCAAGTTGGCAGCAGAAAGCAACTTGTAAATGGTAGCTGCTCGTGTGTTATGTGCTATAAGGTCTAGGAGCAGCTGTCTGTGTACTGCAGGCTGAGCTAAGGATGATTTTACCCTGTGTGTCCTATGCTGAGCACAACTCTTTCCTATTCAGGCTGTTCAGACTTTACATTTTCTTTACTTTTGCTCTAATTGAGTTGTCCTTGTATTAAATTAGCATCACAGTACTCTGGGGAATCAAAGCCAAAATGTTGGGGCCAGGGTGGGGGGATTGTTTGGACTTCATTGAGTTCGTAGTTTAAGAAACAAAACAAAACAAACTCCTCCAAACTGTTAAAAATTCAGAGCATGTGTTTAGTTTTACCAGAGTGTATTTATATGCTGTTTCTTGACTTATTACTGCATGCAATCAGTTAAGGCTGAAGCGTGAAAGCTTAGATTTTGTAATTTCACACCTTCTTTAGTTACCCCAGGCAGAGCAGAACACTGGGGTTTAGGGCATCCGTGGCTATTTAGATTGCCATGCTTAAATAAGCATAAAATTAAATGAGGGGGAGGGAAGAACAGTTGAGCTGTCACTGTCAGGCTTCTCCAGTGTCACAAGGACCTTGTTCCTTCAAAGAGCTCATGTATGGCATTCTGGTTTAGAGGTCCAGTGTCCCTCCTAACCAAAACAGCTGCAGTAAAGGTGAGCTGATCTTTTCACTCTGCACAAGTCTGCGAGATTCCCAGCCTCAATCAGCCTCCTCAGTTATTTTCACTCCAGCTTCAAAGAAACAAATGTGCAAAAGCCCCTTTAGGGGAGCTGAGCTCATGTGGCGGTGTGTAAGGGGTTTAATAATGGCTGCAATTTTCAGAAATTAGAGATCTGAACCGTAGCTGTGAAAGTTTTGTGAGGTCTGCCTGCATGCAAATAATACAGCTTTTTGTGTAGTGCAGGTGAAGGACACGAGCAACTAGAGCACAGCAGAGCAGCAATTCGCCCCATATATCTGAAACCACAATGCAAATATCTGCTGCATAACAGCTGCTGCTAATCTTTGCAGACCCTGTCTGTGAAGGTGCCTGGAGCTGTGTCTCTGGGTGGGCTCAGAGCTGTCCCAGTCTCAGTAGTACACTGTTTATCTCATTAGCACGTCATGCAGGATCTGGATATAAGGCATACTACTACTGAGGACCTAAGAGCACAGCGCACAGCTGTGGCTACACTCCTTCAGGGGCATTTCAGCTTGGAGTTTCCCTCCTAGCTTGGAGCCCTTTCAAGCCCTCACTATGCCAGAGGATGCCATATCTGCCAGGAGACAGCTAGTATGAAGCTGTTGGCAATGTAAATAGGCCTCTCAAAAAGCATGATAGCTTTTACTCCACAATGCAGCACAGGA